CACTGTGTCTGCCCTGCTTGGCATTCCTTTTCCTTTTGGAAGGTATGCGTTCAATAATAATTTGAAGCATCTATTTATCGGCCTTCTTTTTTCATCTCACATCATTTTACATGTTTGCTGATATATATACATGAAGGATTCTTTGTCCTACATACCTCTTTTGATAATTACATACAACAACAACAACAACAACATAGCCTTTTAGTCCCAAGCTCTTTTGATAATTACATAATTCCTTATAATCTGAATGTGTGTTTATGATCAGCAATTGATGGTCCCTACAGCCTGCTGAGCCTCTAAAGCAGTTTGAGTGAGACTAAGGTCTCTAAAATCTATAATGATCATGGATCTTCCATCACTTTGGTTCTTACAGTGTTCATTGCTCTGTTCATTTTGGCTTCCCAGAACTTAAACACACCCTGACCATCTATTCTGTAATTGGATTTTTTCAATGTTTATTGCTTTATGCTATGGACTTCTGAAATAGTGTGTTTTGCTTTTAATGCTAAGATATTGTATGGATAACAACTATAAAAAATAGATTTGTTCGACCAATGGTATTTATACATACATGTGCACGGGTGTGTTCAAAATTCGTCCAAAATTTCATTTAGTACATCTGATGGTTTTAACTACAATCTCTTTCTCAGTATTGGTCGTGTTAATGCTGAGATCTTTTCCTTAGCTGGGGGTACATGGAATCAGGAAAAGTCAATCCATGGTGAAGATCAAAGTCCATCAGAAGGGAACAAATGGATGCAGAATTATGTCAATGTCCTCTGTATTAATTCTTGGCAGGTACATGCTTTTCTGGTTTACTTATCTTTACCTTTTTTCTGTACAACGTCCTTTTNNCCGTATAGTACTGCCTCTTGTTATGTTTATTCTCAATGAAACAATACTCCATTTTGTTGCGGATTTATAAATAGATGAATGTGCCGTAGCCATCCTAGAGTTTGATAATGAGGAAATGCACTCAACTCTTTGTTTTCTCGTTAGGACATTGTTTTATTTGAGAGAGTATCCTTACAAGATTATAATGAAATCAGTTTACAGGCTGATCCACACAACTAAAATTACTAAGCTTAATGACCATATATTAATACCATTTGGTTATTTGTCTAATGCTAAGACCACCAACTCCGATTATGACTTGGTATTTACTTGTGCAGGTGAAGAAATATATTGATGTCTATTCATCCTTGTCATTGATTGGATTTTCGGAGAAAGACTTGCTGCATGTATCCAAGCTGTATTCCAAGGCGCATGAGCTTTGGTCAATCACCTCAAAGAATTTTTCAGATGGAAGTGAGAGGGCATTTGCATCGTCACCTTTTCTGAAACGGCAGCGTGAATCATATAATACGTTTTTGGAAAGTGTTGCTGCTCTAGCACGATCCAGCTGGACTGAGTTTAATTTACAGATGATGGGCATAGGTTTTTTTATCATGTTGAGTTCACTTTATCTGCATGCATTTCTTATTGGGCGACTGGACAAGCTTGGTGCAATTCAATGTAGCTTGCCCAACTATTCTAAGATTTCCTTTGGGTTGAGCTTTGCTTGTATTGTAGTGATGATACGCGCTTGGAGTTTCCTTTCCAACAGTTTTATCTGTAAGCACTATGTCTTTTTTAGCTTTATGAACACTCGTCAATTCATTTTTGTTTTTTCATTTGGCTTCTTCTCATTCCATATCATTTTTGAGTTGCAGTGGAAGAAGGACGTGTAGCTAGTTTTCTTTTGGCGACAACTGCATTACTTCAACTACGTTTTGCAATAATAAAAAAGATGATGGTACTTGAGGTATGATTCTCCTGTTTAATTTTACGTTTCTAATTTCTATCTCTTAAATATGATGAATTATAATGTGTTTTTAACTATGGATATAAATAAAAAAAATAAAATAAAAAAATTATGCAAATGCGCGGCTCTTTGCTGAACTTTTTGTTGGTACCCACAGGCATTTGTGCTATGCCTTTTGGTCTCTTTGCTCAGAATCAGTATCGAACTCGGTCAATTGAAACAAGCTGTGAACTCGTTATTCTTGAAGGTTGACCCTTCGAGGACTTTAGGCATTGTCGATGATTCTCGTTTCTGGGTATATATTACTGAGTTTGTGTCGATATTAGCTCTTGTTCTTGTTGCATATTTTCTGTACAAGTACATCACCTCTATTCCATCTCGAGGAGTTCTGAAGTATGTTGTCTTTGGAACCGTGTTTAATTACGTGCTCATACCCTTTCATTGGGCTTCTGATAGCAGTCTATTGAGGGAGAAGATATTGTTTAGGGGTGTGAATGCTAATGTAATTCCTCGAGTGACCTATGCTGTTGGGCTTCTACAACTCTTGTTACTGACCATAGATCAAATAATCCTAAGGGTGAGATGTTCAGGTGTGGAAGAAAGTACAGTTCCTAAAGCTTTGGCTTTGTTATCCACATGGAGTTTAACAATCATTATTCTTGCTGGAAAACAAGGTCCCTTGGTTGCATTAGCATTAATCATCGGAGGTACGTTATTCTAACTTGTAATTTGTAAATAATATTTGCATTGGAGATGTGTGATCCGTTTTTGATTAGTTAAATTCTACTAATTACAATTTCTATATTTAGTTTCTTATGTATCTTTGTAATTTGACGAATAACGAATGCTCCTGGTTTTTCAGAACTATATCGTGTTCTTCCAATTTTCTAATACGCCTGTCTTCGGTTTAATCCTCATCAGGCTGGAGCATAATTAGGTTGATGAAACTAGAGCAAAACGCCAAGAATGAAAGTTTTGGATCTTCTCACTCTTACGCACTTCCCGTAACCCAATGGAGCCTTCTGGCTGTATGCATGTTTTTCTCTACCGGTCATTGGTAAGACTTCACACGCTATTATCTATGTTTAAAAACACATCGTTAAATTTATAGGACTATTCACTAAAAATTTATTGGCCTTTTACCTTTCCTTTTTTTTTTCTTTTGTAAGTGTCTTTTCTTCACCACCTCTAAGAAGTGATACTTTAAGATACTGAAAAGAACTTTATTCAGGTGTGCTTTTGATGGTCTGAGATACGCAGCCGCATTTGTTGGGTGAGAACACATGTTTTCATCTCTCTCGTTTTATATCTATTATTTTCCTCGACTTCTTCATCTGTTGTTTCAATTTCGAAAGCCTTCTGTAATTATTTCTATAGTACCTTTATTACTTTGTGACCAGTAAATGAGGTAGAGAGAGAGAGAGAGATTTGGGCAAAACATGATCAAATATCTATTATGGTCTCTTTTCATGGCTATAAAGTCAAATGTTAATTATATTTTATGTATTATAGGTTTGATGAATTCAACCTTATCCGTCAAGCAATCCTTCTTACCATCGACACATTTGGCTTTTCTCACATACTCCCTATATTTGGACTTCCATTTCTCGTTTCATGCTTTGGTCCTTCGAGGCAAAATAAACGAGAATTCTCTGTTAGATTATGCCAGGTAACTTTTTATTATATAAATCTCTAATTTTCATGATCAACCAATCAGCAAGTTTGCGAAGCTCTAACTTTATTGATCTGCAAATGTTTCTGTGTCAGGTATATCTGATGTATGGTCTTATTACAGCCATAACAGTCACATTCACTATGCTATGTGTTACAATACAGAGGCGGCATTTGATGGTACTCTCCCGACTCCTACTTAATGCTTTATTTCTACTTCTAATTTGAATAAATATATTTGTTTCTGGACATTAGTATAATTATCTTTCCGTTCCGTTTTTTTATGCAGGTGTGGGGATTATTTGCTCCAAAATTTGTTTTTGATGTTGTGGGTCTTCTTCTGGGTGACTTCTTGATACTTTTGTCTGCAATGTATTATATTGTGTGAATACATTACTGCAGGAAATTCTTTCCTGAGCCGATCTTCTGAATCTTACATGTTCGTTGGCTTGGTTGGGTTTTGCATGTTCGTCGGCTTATATTTGATGGTCTTTTTTTTTTTTTGGTAATTNAATTGTACGACATTGACATTTGGCCGGTCGATATCGATGACTTTTCATATGCTACAGTAAAATTTCTGAAATAACCTTTTTTTTGTTTTTTTTCCTCATTCGAGGTAGAATGATAGTCTAAGTTTTTAGCAGCTGACATTGTTGATTGACAAAGCGAGATTTCTTGTCATTATCACGAGTGTATGTATTTGAAACTTGTGCTGCATGGTATATATTGGTAATCATTGTAATGATGTAGCTATTCTAATGAATAATCAACATTTTCAATAGTGGGATTTATAATTTTGTACGGTTGAATATGATACTTTAGCTTTCAAATATAAATATCAAGTTTTCTATTTAAAATGAAAAGCTTTCAAATATGAAACTTGAGCATGGCTTGTCTCAATCTCGAGTAATAGTGATAAGATCATAAGAATTGAGCATGGTTCGATAAGACAGTTGCTCAACTTAACTCGGTTTCTTTGCTAACTTTACTTCATATCCACCTTTATAAATTTTAGAGAGACAGGTGTTTTGAAAAAGAGATGAGCTCATGTATTTGAAACTTATTTATTTATTGAAAAAAAAAAAAAAAAAAAAAAACTCTGTGGATTCGCAATAGAACTCGTTTCTTCTAATATACTCTAAGGTTCCGTTTGTTTTGAAGGATATACTAAAGGATTTGAAATTCATAGATTTCAAATTTACAAGTTCAAATTCTCATGCATGTTGGGATGGTAATGGAAGTTTGGAGAATTTCAAATTTATGCTAAATGTTTTTTAGTCATTATTTTGAAGGATTTGAAATGACTTCTCAAACTTAATCATTTGAAATCCACTGTTAAGACGATCACGCCGTCCGCGCTCATTTAAGTTCATCACCACTGCGAGTCAACACCAATCCATCGGTGCGACCTACACAATTGATTTATAATATTTTCAACACATTCCTTCATTGAATGTGCAAGTAAAAAGAATTATATTTCAAAAATTTTGAAATCAATAGATTTCAATTCCTCAAAACAAACAAGCCTAAAGCCAGTGGCCACTATAAGGTTTGGGCTCCCGCAATTGCAAAAGCCTTTAAACCCCTTCCGCCGTAACAAATCCAAGGCACCTCCATAGCCAGCCGCGTCGGAGAGCTTCTCGCCACCACTTTAAACCGGAAGGCTTAGAAGATGAAGCTTGACGTGGACGCCCTACGCTACCTGTCCAAAGATGACTTCAGAGTTCTCACTGCTGTCGAGATGGGCATGCGAAATGTTTGTTTATTGTTCCCTCACCAATTTTTTCCATTTTCAGTTCAATGCTATAAACCTTCTGTTCGGATTATAGTTGAGTTTGTATTTCTTTCAATCGTTGCTTGCAGCATGAAATTGTGCCGTCGGAGTTGATAGATCGAATTGCGTCTCTCAAGTGAGCTTTTGGTTTTTGGTGCATTTAAGATTCAGTATAGGATGAACTGTGAATTGTTCTAATAAAGGTTTTTCGGTCTTGGTATATGCTTGTTTACAGGCATGGCGGCACTTATAAAGTTTTGAAGAATTTGCTCAAGCACAAGCTCTTGCATCATGACTCAGCTAAATGTCAGTATTATGCTTTTTAGGTGAAAAAAAATGCTCTTAGCTTCTGCTGTTCACAATCAAGATTAATGCTATTTGAGCAGGATCAGTATTTATTATGTTATCCGTCTTGTGAAGATATCTAAATGCACTTTTACTGATAACTTACAACTGTGCATTGAACTTTTTGCATTGTATTCTTGCCTTCTTGGTACAGATGATGCGTTCAGGCTTACATACCTGGGCTATGATTTTCTTGCGATTAAGACATTGGTAAACCGAGGGGTGTTTGCTGCGGTTGGTCGTCAAATTGGTGTTGGGAAGGAGTCTGGTATAATTGCCTCAACGAGTTTACTTTTTTCTTGCCCATTGTTTTTCACAATCCACAACTTTTTTTTACCTGATTTATGTTTGTGTTTTCAAGATATATTTGAAGTTGCTACAGAAGATGGTACAGTTCTTGCCATGAAGTTACACAGACTTGGTCGGACATCTTTCAGAGCAGTAAAGTCGAAACGTGATTATTTGAGGCATCGTAGTAGCTTTAATTGGCTGTACTTGTCACGGCTTGCTGCTCTCAAAGAGTTTGCCTTTATGAAGGTTTGACTACTATATATTTTTTTGGGTTGCTACTTTATTTTTTTATTATAGAGAGAAAATGGTGTTGTTTTTTCTGTCAAATAACTATTGTGTTGTTGGGTTCTTGTTGGACAGGCTTTGGATGAACATGGTTTCCCTGTCCCACATGCGGTGGATTGCAATCGGCACTGTGTTGTCATGTCACTTATTCAAGGATATCCACTGTATGTTTTGATTCTATATCTTCTTATATGCCTGGAATATTCTTGTTCTGGTACTACGTCATGTAATGACGCTTGCTATACCTTTTGTATGAATATAATGTGCGCGATTGATTTACGTTCTTTCTTGCTATGCTGAAACTGAAGGAACTGCCTAGTTCAAGGTTATTGTTGGGTGCCTTGTAACTTACCATTTCCAATGTTAAGCGAGCAGATAAAATTCACTGCCACTTGTCCACATTCATTGATCTATAAACTGCTAGTTTGGAAAATATTGTGATCAGTTGAATTTGGAAACTGGATAATATTAGAGGCAACTTTGCATGTCTTGGATTCTTGTCCTAAGTTGCTATACGATTGGAAAGAAGTACTGGCAAAGTGAAATGGAATTTGCAATGAAAGTGGCAAAGGATAATGCGCCTAATGATTTGTCAGAGGCCAGTTTTTGAAGTACCGTCCAAACTATATTTTAATTGGCAAAAGTTGATTCTGGGTGAATGTTGCAGTCAAACTGCAGCAATGTGAATTAATTAGGGCAATGTCATAGTTAGACCTGAATTTGTGACATAGGGACAGTGTACATGTTAGCACAGAGTAGTAGTGGGCATAATAGGAGAACTAGTGATAACCCATTGGATCACTGTATAAATTATTATATTTTCTTCATTTTGCTGGCTATCCAAGTGACCATTCTCTAGCGATCCTTTTTACTACGTTAGTTATGAGATTTTCTTTCATCAGTCTTTTCAAGATACTTGGAATATAATGCAAGGCCATCCTATTTCATTCAGTGTACAGATTAAGCAATTGTCGAATCCAGACACTGTCTTTGAAACAATACTTGGCCTTGTCGTTCGTCTGGCGGAGCATGGGCTGATTCATTGCGATTTTAATGAATTCAACATTATGGTATGCTACTGTAGCACTTCCTGATCATTTTGTTATAATTTTTAAACCCACTATAACCTGGAATTTTCCAAATATCTAGTATTCAGGAATTCTTCTTTATACCATGGTACATGCTTGGTTTACTGCCTAACAACTTATGCTACAGAATATGTCTGGGCTTCAATTTATTCTCGTATGCTTTGAATCTAGCTTTCTTCAAGTCGTTTTCTTGTTGCAGATTGACGATGATGAGAAGATCACCATGATTGATTTTCCGCAAATGGTTTCAGTTTCTCATCGAAATGCAAAAATGTATGTTGTATTTACCATTTCTTTCTTTCCAGAGTCATCATGCTAATAGTAGAAGGCATTTTCTTTAAATTTGCTACTATTTTCTATATCTCCAGGTATTTCGACCGGGATATTGAATGCATCTTTAAGTTCTTTAGAAAGAGGTAAGTGAAACATTTTAATATGTAAAAAATGAGTAAATGAATGTTCCTTTTCTTCTTCCCCTATTTTTTCTAACAGAAAGTGCATACTTTAGGTTACATTATTGGATGGCATTTTTGGCTTAATCTGCATAACAGTATCATGATATTAACTTGCAACTCTAAATTCCAAATTCAGGTTTCCTCCTATTTAGAAGATATTAAACATTCAGTTTGATTTCAATGATCTATAGTCCAGTTATTAGTGTCCTTGAAATTCCAGATATTCTATTGAAACTTCCAAGTCTTTCAATATAGCTCAACTAGCCAAAGGTTTTGAATTTATTAATATTATTATACTTCATATATTATATGATATATGATATTGCGCGAGTTGTTCAGGGGACGAATTGAAAAAGTAACATGCACTTACTGAATGTTTTGGGGGTAGTTCCGCAATCACCAATCAAAATCTAGTTTATGCTTTCCAATTCATTACTCTACTAATATACACATTTCACAGAAAATTTGCCAATCAATTTGCTAAATAATGGCGAAATAATTTAAGAAAATGATATTGATCACTAGACCTCCACCTGCACATATTTGGGGGTAGTTCCGCAATCACCAATCAAAATCTAGTTTATGCTTTCCAATTCATTACTCTACTAATATACACATTTCACAGAAAATTTGCCAATCAATTTGCTAAATAATGGCGAAATAATTTAAGAAAATGATATTGATCACTAGACCTCCACCTGCACATATTTTAAGCAAGAGGAACCTTTTTGATGTTCAGTAAGGCATGGCATCTTTTGGTTTTTCATATATTAAAAGCTTACTTGGCCTCGTTTTTTCCCTTTATTAGGTTCAACCTCTCGTTTGAGGAAAATGAAGTTGAGTCTGATGACTCGGATGTGGATTCAGAAGAAAGTTGCCGGCCACAATTTTCCGAAATAAAGAAAGTTACTGGTTGTCTGGACAAGGAACTTGAAGCCAGTGGTTTCACAAGGAAGGATCAAGATGACATAGAAAAGGTGCAACTTCATTTTTTTTCCCGTTAAATCTGCAAATTTTCCCTCATACAATTGAAGTTCAATTTTTTCGACCGCAACATTGAATGGTATCTTACTTGCTACCGTTTGAAGAGTCATTGACCAGCTAAAGCCTAAAGGACCACTTCTTTATCCATCTGTAATAATTTGAATTCTATCACTTCACTAATATTATTAATTTGATGGAATCACCATATATTACTGAAATATCAATTTGATGAAGTGTGTGATACCTAATGGTTGTGAGTGCTATAAATTGGTAATTGGTATATATATACACACACATATGTGTCATCCTTGCGCAGGGGCCATGCTAATCTTCTCTGTATCCAATTTTATCGGATGTATATATATTTGAAGCATTAAGTTTTAGCTGTTGAATTGACTTCTTATTTTGGATCTTCATTCATAGTTTATTGACGGGGATCTAGAGAAAGATCAGGGATCTGATTGTGAAGAATCTGAAGGGGAGGAAGATAATGCTGGCTCAGTAAATGGTGCTAGTGTGAAGAATTTCGAGCACTTGAGCCTGGTTCAAAAGGTTATAGTTTTCACATCTTTTTTATTATTTTAATACTCGAACCTTTTTAATTCTTCGCTTTCAATCAATATTAATTGTAAAATATTTTCTATATTTTCATCACACCACAACAATACATCTTGAACTTTACACGAACTGTCCACAGAAATTGAAATTTGCCGTGATCGGGAGCAACCCATAATGGCTTCTTTGATAACACTTACTCATCTACTGTTCTTTGCATATAAAGAAACCTCTGTTGCGTAATTCTTCTCTTTAATTCTTAGTTTTTCATAATTATGTTTCGGAATTGTATTTTGGCCTCCTGAAAAACAAATACCTGTTCACAGGAAGGAGATAATTTACTGAAAGCATCCAACGAGAATCAAATACAAGAAAATAATGCCTCCAAAGAATGTAGTCAAATCGGTCCCGAGCCCCTAAAAAACGAAAAGGTCCAACAGGAGGATAATAATGCTGAGGATGACATACAAGCTGGGCCTGGGCCCGATTCAGAAGAAGAAAATGACCCTGAACTTGACAAGCGTCTAAGCAAACAACGCCAACGGGCCATTCAAGCGGCCCGTGGGAGGAGAAAGGTTATCACCTCCAGAAATACTTACAAGGACAAAGGCGGGAGGTCATCTCATAATTCGAAGATCCAAAAGCAATTAAGTAGCTGGTAAAAACCTTGTGCAAAATCGTTAGTCAAATTTTTTGTCCCAATAGTGAAATTTTGATTTGAAAGAATTGTTGTACTTCTAATACACCTGTAGCCACAATGTTTTCTTCAATACATGAGACTCCCATTATATGATTTATCAATACATAGTTTCGGTTTTTATTCCAGGAAGTATATTCTCGTGTGATCGATTTATCAATGTTGTGCTCGAGTCGAACATGCTATATATGAAAAGTGCAGATTTTGTATTATTGTATCAGTACATGAAAATATTGATCAAGTTTGCACAAAATGAATGCACCAACTGTTTCATTCATTGTAGAGATCAACTGAGATCTGCTTTTTAATTTTTACACTGCAACTTTTAGAGACATGAGCAACAATAGTATGACACTCTTTTCTGCCTCACAACACCATATATTTTTTTATTAACTTGACCCAAAACTAAACATTGGGCTCATTCCAGCTATTCTATCCGGTTCGGTTTTTGGGGCTTTTGCCCTTCAGTGGATTTGTTGGTTAATCAGAGTTAATTATAGAAAAATTGATTGAGTTAGGTTTGAGTTGAATTTTGAAATTGTATTAAAATAATATTTAAAATGTAATGATAAAACTTGATTTGATTTAAAAGTGGGAGAAAGATGATTGAAAGTGATGAATAATTTAAATTAGGTGAGTAGATAAATAGTGAATTAAAATTGATGTAATTTGTGAAGATGATTGATTGATATTATTTAATTATATTGATAATATTGATGATGGTTGAGTTTAGTTAAATTTAAATTAGATTTCGATGTAAAAAAAATATCTAATGAAAAGCGACTTATATCTCCAAAAACCGAATAATATGTGGATTGGCTGTAATTGTTTCTTCTTTTTTTTTTTTNCAAAGTATTTTTACCTTATATATATATTTATTTATTTGATTGAAAGGGGAAAAAATGAATTTTCCAATATTAAAAATCAAACATTTTCAATTCACCAACCTCATGGTTGCCCCACCACTCGCTCTCAACCCAATAGTGACCAAGAAAAAATTGACCTATCAAAAGGATGTGAGGTCATTTTGGTCATTACAGCCCACCTGGGGGTTGGTTAATGTGTTTGTTTATAGGTGGCGCCATTTGCTACACATTTGAAATGACACTTTAGCCCCTCTTCACCTACCTACCTTCACCATCCACATTTTTGCTTCCTCTGTGAAAATTATAATAAATATATTTTTTTTAAATCCGAAATTTATATATTTACCCCATAACTGTGCGGCAGCAAGCTTCAGATCTGATCCCAGCTTCACCTCTCGAGTTTCGAGATCTAATCAAGGTCAGTCATGGCGGATTACGATTTTGTTCCTGCAGGGCACATTCCCCATTTTTCCTACTTACCAGTTTTTTTCTGTTTTTTTCTTTTTCATTTTTTTGGGGAAAATGGGGTTGAATTTGCTTGAATCGGACGCAGGTCAGGGATGAAGGTGATAGAGAAGATCCGGGAGGCGGCGGCGGCCGACAACAACGGCCGGGTGGTGTTCTCCTTCGAATTCTTCCCCCCGAAGACGGAGGACGGCGTCGACAATCTGTTCGATAGGATGGAGCGGATGGCCGCGCACAGCCCCACGTTCTGCGACATCACGTGGGGCGCCGGCGGGTCCACGGCGGACCTGACGCTGGAGATCGCCAACCGCATGCAGAACATGGTGTGCGTCGAGACAATGATGCACCTCACCTGCACCAACATGCCCGTCGAGAAGATCGACCACGCACTAGCCACCATCAAGTCCAACGGCATCCAGAACGTCCTCGCCCTCCGGGGGGACCCACCTCACGGCCAGGACAAGTTCGTGCAGGTCGAAGGAGGGTTCGCGTGCGCCCTTGACCTGGTGGGTGTGGTTGGGATAAATTCCCATTTCCCGTTTCCGCTTGTTCTTTGATTCATATCGGTGCCTCAGCTTGTAAAATTGCTGACTGTATTTGCCCCTGTTTGTTTGCAGGTTAAGCATATCCGTGCGCAGTACGAGGACTATTTTGGGATTACTGTTGCCGGTTATCCAGGTGCTAATATGCTGTTCTTTTTGGCTGAAGTGAATGTGAACGAATATTATTGTGTCGTTAAACTGTCGGTGCTGTAGTAGTTGACATGGGTTTAAAGGCAGTGTTGAATACTATCACGATTTTTCTTAGTTCTAGCTGATTCCCTCTTTCGAAATTTTGTTAAATTGAATTTCCTGTCCTAAGATTAATTTTGTCGGATATCGGTACATTTGTTTACAGTGGTATTTACTTTTATGGTCTGTTTAAATGTGTTTAAATGTGCTCTGTGAATGTGATTAAGTCACTAATTGCATCTTTACTTTATTCATGCAGAGGGACACCCTGATGTTATTCAGAATGGCGTGGCACCACCAGAGGCATATCAGAATGACCTTGCTTATCTAAAGAGAAAGGTGGTCTGCTTATGCTGAATTTAGTTTGAATGGTATCTTATTGTAGTAGTTTCGGAGTATCTCGATCGTTCAAGTTCTCCATTTATTGTTGTTTTCTTTTCAGGTTGATGCTGGAGCCGATCTCATTGTAACTCAACTCTTCTACGACACTGACATCTTCCTAAAATTTGTCAATGATTGTCGTCAATTTGGAATCACCTGTCCCATTGTACCTGGTATCATGCCCATTAACAATTACAAGGGCTTCCTCCGCATGACAGGATTCTGCAAAACTAAGGTGGGAGCTTAACCATTTACTACCTCTCGAGATACATTTATGTTGGTTGCATCAAGATTCAAGATAGCTTTAGAACTCTGTTAATAATAATAATGTATTAGCCTACTTACCTCCCGACAATTATCATTGTTTAAAAGGTGAGATGAGACATAGATACTGCAACATTCACCGTGATTTGTGAACGATATATAGATTGTGGGGTGAACATTATCTTGTTTCACATGCTGTCTTGATTGACTAGTGTTCAAGGTGGATTTAAGAAACTAAAGGAACAACTTAATGATGGCTGTGTTCACCACTGAGCTGCCAAATGAAATTCCCAACTTGGAATCTCTTCCAATATATGATAGAGGTGTTTCTGATTGTGCCGGGCAGCCCTCATATTTGTGTAGATTCTTTACTGAAGTGTGTAAGATGCAGAAATTGTCCTTGAACAAGTGTTTTGGTATTGGTTAGGAAGATATAATTTGCATTAAAATTAACACAGATGCATGTTTTTAGATCCAAATTCTAGTTTATGTTGGCCATATTTTATAGAAATGATTGTAGTCAATCAGATTGATTATTTGTTGGTATAGGAGTGAGAGTTGGATATTTGGACTAGTGAAAATTGAGAAGTAACTGAACACTTATGGGTTGGGTACATTTGTAAACAATTCAATATCTTATAAGAATAAAAACTGAGGCATACATCTTTAGCCTCAGGTACAGAGGGCAATGCTATGATTTAGAATTATGCCCTGGGCACATTATCAGATTATTTGTTCTTTTTTCTTCCGTAAAGATCTATATTCTGTTCATGGCATCTTCATGACTTGATTGTCTCTTTGAGATTCAAATCTTTTATGATATTAGGCTTTCACATTTAACTATCAAGGTAAAAACTGAATCACAGATCTACAGACTACCCTAGACTTAAGAAGTGTTATTTGGAGAATTATTTTGTACAGTATAGAATTTTTCCTGTTGAATGTTCTGCTGCAATTAGAAAACTACCCGTAGCAAAAACAAGGTTCCAGCCTTCCAGGCACTAATGATGCGGGTCTAGTTCATCAAACACTTTTAGAACCTTTCCATTTATCCTCTTTCAGTTCATTGCTCTTGTCTCTACCTATAGCAATATCAGGTTCTGGTAAATCATAACTGACCATGCTCTTAGAACAACAGAAATAACTGTCATCAATTTCTATCATTTTATGCAGAAAAAACTGGAATTTGGGAGTCATAGAATAATTATATATGCAACTTACTTCTGTTTTTAGCAAAAGATTATATGATGACTTGCTTTTTTCCTTACCCATCTGTTTTCCTTTCCTCGGCTAATCCTTTCCAGGATATTTATCAAACATTTAATGTTTTATTATAGATTCCACCCGAGATTATGGCTGCCTTGGAACCAATCAAGGACAATGAAGAAGCTGTTAGGGCCTATGGGATTCACCTTGGAACAGAAATGTGCAAGAAGATTATTGCTAGTGGGATCAGAACTCTACATCTGTACACTTTAAACATGGAGAAATCTGCACTGGCAATATTGATGGTTTGTTTTCTTTACTTGTCCTTTTTTTGTAGCTTTATTGCAACAAACTACATGACTGTGAAAAGAAAACGTCGTACTTATTTGAATCTCCACCTGCAGAACCTTGGGCTGATTGAGGAGTCCAAGATTTCAAGGTCTCTGCCATGGAGACGTCCAGCAAATGTTTTCCGGGTGAAAGAAGATGTCCGTCCCATATTTTGGTAAGCAGACTCAGCTCTAGAATCCTCCTTAATTTTTCCAAAATTTAGTTAGTAAATGTCTGATGTATCCTGGCAAATGATGTTAGGGCTAATCGTCCCAAAAGCTACATCTCAAGAACTGTTGGTTGGGATCAGTACCCACAAGGTCGATGGGGAGATTCTCGAAATGCATCGTATGGGGCACTCAGTGATTATCAGGCATGCACTTCCTTTTAATCCTAGTCATTACCTGGATGTGTTTATTTCAAGAAAATCTATTTCCTATTCAGTGGCATCCGCTGTTTTCTTCAAGCTTCTCTTGCACTTCCTTTTCTTACATTCTGATCCATGTTCTGGATTTAGTTACCTTGTTCCTATCGTTGAGAGCGATCCATCCTCTACTTAGTGGTTAATTAGTTAAGATATGAGGCCCATGACTATAAGCCAGGAGACTGCTTCTAATATCGAAACCTTTTTGGTGCATGACTTTTCAATATTCAACAAATAAATGTAGGAAGCTTCTATTTTTCAATCCCTATTTGAATTTTCTTCTTTCTTTAACAAACTTGTAATATTTCTGATACTAGAAATGCTTCTTAAATTGTTGCATTAGTTTACTCTGAATCCTCGCAAAGGGATTGACTAACCCAAATTAACTGTGTCGATTTCACCTTTCCTGTTCTTGTGTTCTTCTTTCAGCCTGTGCATTGTTGCTTCAATGCAATTTGACTGTGTTTTATTTTCTCGTTATACCTTTCCCTGAAAGAAAACTGCCATACTAAACATGATAAGAATCTCCTTGACAGTTCATGCGGCCACGTGCACGTGATAAGAAACTTCGTGAGGAGTGGGCAGTCCCGTTGAACAATGTTGAAGATATTTATGAGGTGTCAAAACTTGAAACTCTTGCAAAATATATAAAATTTCTGTTTACAAAATCGATCCTTACGAAAATTCCAATGCATCTCAGAATTTTATGAAGTTCTGCCTTGGGAAACTCAAAAGCAGTCCTTGGTCTGACTTAGATGGGCTTCAGCCGGAGACCAAAATCATCAACGAACAGCTTGGCAACATAAATTTGAAAGGTTTTCTCACTATCAACAGTCAACCAGCTGTTAATGGTGCTCAATCTGATTCCCCATCTGTTGGTAAGATAATATTTCTGCTTTCCATTGGGATTTTTACAAACACACACACACAAATTATATAAAAAAATTGGTCATCAGTTTGCACACGTCTATCAATTTGAATGAGATGAGGATCCATTCTTAAGATTTACTAATCGGAACTGCTATTTAATTGATTTCTTTGGCATATTTTAACTAACCTGCTACTTTACAGGGTGGGGTGGGCCAGGAGGGTATGTGTACCAGAAGGCTTATGTAGAGTTTTTCTGTTCTCCCGAGAAGCTGAATGCTCTAGTTGAGAAATGTAAAAACTTCTCTTATCTAACATACATGGCCGTGAATAAACAAGGAAGTTGGATATCTAATGTGAAGAAGACTGATGTGAATGCTGTGACTTGGGGAGTTTTCCCGGCAAAGGAGATTATTCAACCAACTGTTGTCGACCCTGAAAGCTTTCTCGTGTGGAAGGATGAAGCTTTTGAGATATGGTCTAGGGGATGGGCTAAGCTCTACTCTGAAACTGATCCATCCAGAAAATTACTTGAGCAGGTCAGATTTTTCCTTTCTTATATATATATATATATATATTATTTTATAACATATCCCGGATTTCATCCCCCGGTTTTTGAAAGAATTTACGAAAAACAAAATTATTTTGTGGTATATTGCATGGTTTTGTTACACTTTGGGTTTGTGCAGGTGGAGAGCAGCTATTATTTGGTTAGCTTGGTTGACAATGATTACATCCATGGAGATCTGTTTGCTGTTTTTAAGGACATTTGAGTTTATTATACATTGCAAGATTCAGCCTTTTTTCATTCATCGTCGTGTGATCTTCGTAAGTAATTCAATTATACGAATTGTTTGTACTGCCATGTAACATTATCTATTATTCACTTCGGGATTTTGGAAATTTCAATTTATATGTAATTTTAGCCAGAATTTGTGATTGTATTCTTAAAAGTTAAGTTGCAGTAGCTCATCAAGTTTGGTTCTGCTGCATTGAAAGCTTAAATAAAATGTATGTGCGTGTGTTTATTTATTTATTATTTGAGTTGAGTGGCAGAAATTGAAGTTTCCATTGGTTTCTAATGGAAGTTTGTGGGGGCACATTTTTTCACTGAGTTTCGGCCTAACTCGAATTCAACTATAGATAAAAAAAATGAAATTAATACATTATAATTTAACTAAAGATAAAAAAGAAAAATACATTATAATTTAAAGTTTTTCTTGTGATAAAGGAAATGCTAATGAATCTCAATTATGGGAATTGAGAAACATTATTTTCTTCATTACATTGTCTAACATTTAGATAGTCGTATTCATTTAATATGCTTATGTTAGCATGTACAAATATCATACTTTAAATTGTATGCCTTAAAATAACATCCAAGTGCTGTCTAATGTTGTATGCAGTGCAATATATATATTTTTTTTAAGATTGTCTGGCACATCACATGTTAATTAGACCAAATGTGAGTGAATTCCACATGGATGCCTTAGACCCTCAAGTTGGACAACAGTGCTATTGAGTAGAAAATCATACACATTATCATTATGGGTGTCATATTTTTCAACTAATACCTAACAAAACTTGTTAAAAGACACAGAATACAAAAACTATGTCTACAAGAAAGTGAGAAACAGCCCCAAAATAGATACCAATAAAGGAAATATAGGATCCTATTCTACCTAAGTCCTCTAAATCAACTTCACTTACACTTAAAAGCTTTGATGAACAAACAAGAGTTTTCTTTAGAGACCAAAACTCGCTGAAGAGCAAGAGGATCGCGCAAAGTTCTTAGCAGTCGAGGTAAGAAAAGCTAACTAACTAATCTTTGGTTCAATGTTTAAGGTGTTTATTAGGACCAGCTATTGACTTAAATCTACAAAGTGTACATCACTTGTAAGTTGTAACTAAACATCAAAGGTGGGTAAGAATGTGTAATGAAACTACAAAGTTGTGTTGAAATTGGGTGCATCCAGACTTGCTTCTGATGATTGATGGTAATTGTTTGATTGAGATTCTTGAATTAAGTTTCGGTGTGCCATGTTCTTTTGGAACTGTGTTTTGAATATGATAGAATAACGTTATTTGATTTGAAAAAAAATTGTCCTATTGGTGTGAACAGTGTCCACAACAGGGTCTGAGCCGTTAGATCAACACACATGTACGACTATGTTTATGAACAGTTGATCTGACGGCTTAATTGTGACAAACTATTCATTTATTTCCCTTTTTTTTTTTCTTCCCAAAAGATGATGCTTTCATCAAAATTTCAGTGGAAGATGCAAACATGGAGCCCAACAGGGCCAAGTTCTCATTAATAGGTTTAATTTAAAACACTTGCTTCAGTGGAAAAAAGATTACAAGTTCATATTATGGAATTCTACGAAATTCTACATAATTGGGAACACTCTTAATTCAGGAACAAAACAGTCAGAAACCTATTAAAATGCATTCAAATTCAACAAACATATTAAATCCATTCAAATTTGATATTATCAAAAGATTACACAAAAGCGGAACTTTATATGGAAGCTTATGAAACATGAGTAGAATCTATCATTATATAAAAAAAAAATAACCTTTTTATAAATTTAGAAAGTTTTTCCCGCCATAATCATTAAATATATTTTAATTATAGTAATAGTTGGACAATTGTGAATAAGCACAAAAAATGCTTCTTAATTGCAGTGTTTCCTTAATTCTAGCTTGCACAATTAAATCGGCGTGCAACAACAAATCCGATTGGCTTTTTTTTTTTTAAACTTTCCCACAAAAATATCGAAATTTTTGTTTTAAATCTATATCTAATTTTGTTTGTCAACACAACATTCGCTAAAAGTATAGATATTCACGTGTACGAATTAGTTACATATTGGATTCTTATTAGGAATGGATTATGAAATTAAATAAAACTTTTATTAAATAAAAATTTTTGGACGGATCAATTTATAAAAATTTATATAGATATTCAAAAAAAATACGACATTAATTAAAAACATTGTTTTTAAAAATTGATTCACAACATTCATCGAAAAAAAAACTGTACAATATTTTCTTGGTGTGTACAAATTAAGTTGCTAAATAATTGGAAAGAATCCCACCTTGCTAAGAATTCAAATATATCATGCAACTCTTCACAATATTTAGTCCGCATTTATCTGATGTAATACATCAATTATTTGGAAAGTAAGTTGCTAAATAATTGTAAAAAAATACTGACATTAATTAAAAACATTGTTTTTTAAAATTGATTCACAACATTCATCGAAAAAAAATTGTACAATATTTTCTTGGTGTGTACAAAGTAAGTTGTTAAATAATTGGAAAGAATCTCACCTTACTAAGAATTCGAATATCATGCAACTCTTCACAATATTTAGTCCACATTTATCCGATGTAATACATCAATTAATTGGAAAGTAAGTTGTTAAATAATTGTACAGAATCTCATCTTGCTTTGAATTCGAATTATTACAATTCTGAATAATTGGAAAGAGTCCCATACTGCATGGAATTCTCATATAAACTAAAACTTGAACAATATTTTATCTTGTCTCCATCCCATTTTTCCTCTACATATAATGTGATTTTCGTATATCAAGATTTTTCTTAAAAATCTTATCAGATATTGATTCTACTCTACCAATTATAAATTATAAATCTCGATTCTATTCTACCAATTATAAATTATAAATCTCAAAATATTGAGCCATTCTAATATTTATAGTTTGTGTAGATTTAATAATATATGATTGTTTCTTTGTCCAATACTATCTTATTGTACAATTTTCCTAAGTATTATAGTATTTTTATTTAATATTGTATCTTATAATATAATATTCCTCAAATAAATATATCTCGTGTCTCGCACGGGTCATGTACTACATATATCCCGTATTTTTTTTTTATTCATATATATAATTATAAGTCAGAATAAATAACCTTAAAATTATGCATCCCGTACATCGCAAGACTCTACACTAGTTTATTCCGTAAAGCAAGACCAGTCAAACCTAAACTAAAAGTATGAAACACACACGAATTTATAATACTACACTTAGACTATTATTAGAGAACACAATGAAATCCAATTTTTCATAAAATTGAAAGGATGATTTACACACATCTGACAAGATTTTGCAGATTTACACATCAATTTTAGAATCAACTGTTCCTAAATTTACGCATTATTTTTATTAATTATTATGTTAAAAAATTATGTCAAAGTCGTATTATTTTATTCCCACACTTGATTCAATTAAAACCTAATATATGAAGGACTGTAATTTGTTTCATTTTTTGGGTGATATTAAAACTTTTTAATCCCACATTTGTTCTTTAAAAAAAAAATTACTAAAGTCCTTAGAAATCTTAAGTATATAGGTAGAAATTGAGTTAAGATTACATACAATCTCATTAAGTCTTAAAATATCCAAACAAACCTCAATGGTAAATAGTTAACATTTCATTACTTTATAAAAGAACTTTTTAAAAATTGAATAACTTTTTAAATCTTAAATAACTAACTTAATTTTTTTTTTAAAAAAAATCAAGTTTAAGAAAGTTTTCAACAATCACAAATGTATATATCCCATCGAATTNCGCTACCCACAGAGTCCCACACACACTCTCCCCACAATCAAACAATCAAGATCTGTTTTTTTCCTCCATTAAAGAAGAAGAAGAAAACAAAAATTCACAGCTATAATCCGTTGTTGATTCCTACAGTTAACCTGTATATATATCTCATCGTCGGCACCGCCATTCGCCGCCCGAATCCCGGTTTTGCGGTCCGTCTCGAGTGTGTGTGAACCCCATTGTCTCTCGTTTTCTTTTGCGCAGCGCGAGCCGGCGGCGTCCGTGGGAGATCTGTTGATCGTCGGCCGGTGAAAAAAAGAGGCAATTTTGCGAGTGGGTTTGTGGCGAGCGAGGTAGGAAGGGAGGTATAAGGAATCGGGAATGGAAAGGGAGAAGAAATCGCCGGCGTCGGCGGTGTCTGACGTGGGCGCGTGGGCCATGAATGTCGTCAGCTCCGTCGGGATCATCATGGCGAACAAGCAGTTGATGTCATCCAACGGTTACGCTTTCACCTTTGGTGAGTCCCGCCATCACTCGGGTTGTCTTATCAGTGTTCTGTTTGTGTGTTCTTCTGTTCTTAGATCTTCTTTCTGTTCAATTGCATGACGTGTTTTGGTATTTTATCAATGTGTGGTTTAATTTAGCTTTTATTATGGCGGCCGCCCTTTTCCTCTAGCTCAGTGATTGATCGGTGGGTTAATGTGCACTTTATACGAACTACAATTACTGCGTATCTTGTGAATTCTTGGTCCCCCAGTTACTTTCTCATTGATTTGGGATCATTTTCCGAATACAATTGCAATGTCAGTAGATTTTGTGATTGATACTGATCCTCTATGGATTTGGGCAAGTGATATAAGTCGACACTTACACAAATTGTATGCTTATTGCATATATGGTTATTGGAAGCTTTTTGTTTGTGCCTTTTTTGACCACTTCCAATAAACAGTGACTTTTTCTAACTAACTACCACATCTAGCATATTTGGATGCTGAATTACAATGAGTATCTGTCAAGTCCCTTAATTTTAGCCATTTTTATCTGTTGTGTTTTTCAATCCAATTGGACTTGTAATTTTTATAACCGTATTTTCTATTTCTGCTTATTGTCTGTGCAGCAACAACATTGACTGGTTTTCATTTTGGTGTTACTGCACTTGTTGGTATGATATCAAATGCCACGGGCTTATCTGCATCGAAGCACGTGCCTTTTTGGGAACTTCTCTGGTTCTCCATTGTAGCAAATCTGTCAATTACAGGGATGAATCTGAGCCTTATGCTCAACTCAGTCGGATTTTACCAAGTATGTTTATCAATAAAAGCTCTCTTATTTGCTTTTGTGGATAGTGGCTTTCAATAAATGGTCCTTTACAATGTTACTTGTGCGAGCATTCTAAGAATCTAATTACAGAAAGTTCCATTTATTTCTGGGCTGTGAAATATTCTTCAGCTTTTAGTGTCACAACGTGATAGGAAAAGCCGAGTAATATTTGTCTTTTAGAATCTAAACCTTACTATTATTCATATCATGATCTAAAAACAAACATGTAGCAGCTTTTAATCAAAACTCGTCTACTGCGTTGTGGTTTTTTTTCATCTAGTTCAGTACAATTTATTGTAATTCAAATATTTTTGGAATAATCAGATTGTCGGTTTATTATTTTGCTGTAGATCTCAAAGCTGAGCATGATTCCTGTGGTCTGCATTATGGAATGGATCCTTCACAATAAGAAATACTCGAACGAAGTTAAAATATCTGTCGTGGTTGTGGTTATAGGCGTTGGCGTTTGCACTGTGACCGATGTCAAAGTGAATGCCAAAGGGTTTCTTTGTGCTTGTGTGGCAGTTTTCGCAACATCTTTACAGCAAATTGTGAGTAAATTGTTTGAATTTCATAATTCTGTGAATAATTCTACTTAACAAGATGGCATTAGCTTGGCATTTCTAGGCAGTACAAGTTATCCGCTCAAAATGAGTTTTTTTTTTGTTAACGAGAGTTAATTTTGAAAAATAGTGTGTGTTTAGTTGTTAGTGGAATTTTAAATTTATATTAAACTAATATTTAAAATAAAATAACTAAAGTTGATTTGATGAAAGTAGAAGAGAGATGGTGTGAAGTGAGTTAAAATTATGTGAGTGGATGAATAGTATATTAAAGTTAATGTTAAGTGTGAGAATGATTGATTTTTATTATTTAATTATATTAATAATATTGAGGATAGTGTGGTTGAGTTAAAGTTGAGTTAGATTTTGAGTAAGAATTGGATTATTTTATAAACAAACGCACACTCTAGATATAGCAATCAGCATCGCCTATTGCCTCGGTCTAACCAAAGGATAGATGGTCTCGACCGAATATTTAATTAGAAGAGAGAAGTGGATGTGAGGCGACCGCCGACTGAGGGGTTTCGAGAGCATCGAGTAAATTACTGCTCACTTTTTTTTGTGCTTTTCGGTATGCCAGTGAGAGATCTGTTTCGATGGCCTCCCAACAAGTGACAATATGTCTGTCTTTAAGGTGGTGCAGTATCACATATTTTGTTCACTGTATTTTCTGAATTGAGGATAAAGCATTTGTTTTGTTCACTAGTATCATGGAATATTATTCCATTCCATGTTTCTCTATGGAAGCAATTCCCCCGAACCAAATAATCGAACCTATAATCACATAGTTGGTGATAAAGAAAAATAATACGAAACAATTTTTTCTTTTTTTTTTCAACTTTCACGCTTGAGGATAATTATTAAATGATATTTTTCTGAGTGCAGTCAATAGGCTCCCTGCAGAAAAAATACTCCATTGGATCATTTGAATTGTTGAGCAAAACAGCTCCTATCCAAGCTTGCTCTCTCCTTGTGACGGGCCCCATTATCGACTACTATCTTTCCGGAAAATTGATTTTCGACTTCAATTTTAGTGGTGGAGCCATCGTAAGTTTTACATAATTCATTCACACGATTATCTGCAAATCTTCGAACAAATTTTTTGACAATTATTATATAATGCAGTTATTTATACTCCTCTCGTGTTCTCTTGCCGTTTTTTGTAACGTGAGCCAATATCTCTGCATCGGGCGTTTTTCGGCTGTTTCCTTTCAAGTATTGGGTCACATGAAAACCGTGTGCGTTTTGACTTTGGGTTGGCTGCTTTTCGACTCGGAGTTGACTTTTAAAAACATATTGGGAATGATTGTTGCGGTTATTGGCATGGTGATTTACAGTTGGGCAGTGGAAGTTGAAAAGCAACAGGTCAACAAATTAACGTCTCACGTGAAAAACAGTTTGACTGAGGAGGAATTTAGGTTGCTTAAGGAGGGAATTGAGACGAGCCCTCTTAAGGATGTCGAGCTTGGAGAGGCTAAATAGTGGCTGTTTGATTATCGGGATTTTTTCGGGTTCCGGTTTGTGATATTTTTTGTGTAAGTTTATATATAGTGTTTAATTTCATTTAATTTATTTCTGCAGAACACCATTGTGAACCATTAATTTGCTTGAGCCTCATGAGAATCAGTCAGTGTTTTTTTAGAGTGTAGTGGAAATTGGATGAGCAGAGGAAGAAAGAGTTTGTTTTATGTGGAAAGTGTGAAACTATTTACAAATTTTACATTTTTTTTTTTTTTTTTTTNATATATAGAGAGATTTATTTTTTGTACTGTCCTGTTTATGACTTTATGGAATTACCCTTATGGGGGAATAAATTTTAATATTTTTTTCCGTTTTGTATTTTATTTTCATTGTACGTGTTCGTGATGTCACATTTGTACACGAGTCAGTTTATTCAATTGAATTAAACACGAAATGACTAGAAACTGTGCGCCCATTTTCATCCATCCTATTTCTAGGCCTAGCAGATCTTTAAACAGCCCAATTCTTTATAATTATAGCATTTCAATAGATAATCAGTCCAATACAAAACAAAACCAATATAAGCACATGGAGAAGAACCAATATAAAAGGAAAATTGTGCACACACACATATTCACGTCTCTATCGTGATACACATTCATTGTACTACACGGGTATATGTTGGTCGAATAGTAAGAAATTCCGTGTATATGTTGGTCGAAGAGTAAAAAATTTGGTTATTAAAATAGGCTGAAATTAACATGCTCTCACATAGTACATCTAGAATCGAACATCTTTTAATATATTATACTAGTGGGCTCTCGGCTGTGCACGCACAGCCGACCCGCGTTCAATCTACAATTATGAAATATTATGAAATATTGATTGTTCTTTTGTTTATTGCTTAAGATATGTCCAACCTTATACATATATTTGGCCAACTCGAAGAGTACACATACATACATTTGCCAACATTTTTAAAAGTAGATTGAAATTAATTCATATGAATCCATCACAAAAGTAAGAATCCCCACGACATAATAAAATATCCCTCCATGAACACAAAATGTATCAACCTGATAGCACAAATTGTATCAACCTGGATAGAGAAGGTATTTTCCAATCATATGTATAAATGGCTTGCATATAATGTAAGAAACATATAATTCAACAACCAGAGTAAAATTTCCACCCAAAGACCCACAAGAGAAAAGAGCTCGTATATTTATTTCCCAAATTTATAAATTTCTTGTACAACTTATTAGACATCAGAAGAAAAAAATAGTAGCATGTGATTGACACACAACACAATTTGCCAAGTAATGGTGGTGAAGATGTTGCCTTTAGGACTATGAGCACAGATAATAAGAGTACCTGAGTGCAATGGCAATCTTCTTGACCCTGCACTCCGAACCATCTTCCGGCATACCTGGCTGGATCAAAGTTCTTCACCGTCATGACACAGAGTACACAATATACACAACACCCACCGAACATGATGACAATGTTGATATCCGTCTCAGTCATCATGTCCAGCCCATCCTTGTCATTCCCCTCATACTCAAGCAGACGTCCAGAAAAATGTAGAAGATGGAGAGCTAGATAAATATAAGGTGCATTTTTTTCACTTTAATTCTTATGAAAAAAAAATGAAAACATTATTCTTGTTCCTTTTCCAGTGAGTTATTTTTTATAAGTTTATTTAAAAATGGTAACAAAGCATCAAACGTGACAGTGCATTCTAAAACAGAAAATATGCTGAATACTAATGAAATAATAACAATAATAATAAGAAAAAAAGTATAGGTTATGATTCACCTCTAAATCCCTTCATATGAAATGCTTCTTAATCTTCTCAATGATGTCACGTAGTAGAACTCTATGCTTCTCGCCAATATCTTGTTTTGCGTCGAATTCTTCTACTAAATGCTCTGGTTCACATTCAATCTACAAAACCAAAACAAAAAATCAAAAAAATTGTCTGCTCGTTAAATGTCTGAAATCTCACCAAAAGAAAACAAAAAAAGCATTTAAAAGAAGAAAAAGAACACACAATTTAAACAAATGAAAAAAAAATAAAAAATGACCAAATAGTGCAGCGCAGACATAGAGACTAATTTTCAGCAACATATCAAAGAACTATATTAATGATAGGAGCTAAATCATAAGATAACAAATGAAAGATGAAAAACACACTTTTTTGTTGAAATATCCAGATGCTGGTTTTCTTCTCCACTTATATCCTGTTGCCAAGTCAGCCCAAATCTTTGATCGTCGCTGATTTTCAATTGAAGAAACAAAGGCCAGCGCCAGAAATCTGCCATTTACTGGAGATTAACTTACTCTTGGTCCACGGTTGGTTGCTTGGGACTGTCGATTAGACACATCGTCTAATTCTTGCATCATTTCAGACCTGCTGAGCTTATATAACGTTTCATGAGCTCTCGTTATAAATGGCTGCATTATATTTCCTCCCTTAACAAAAAAAAATAAGCTGAACAATTTCAACCATTATGATCACACACACACACACGAAAGAGGATATAAAAACATTAATTACCTGCTTGAAATGGGTATCCTAATCCGCAACAGTCTGAAAAAACCACCCTCCCTGGCATCCTCATCAATGATCAGCTCAAGCTTTCAGCTCAAGCTTGAACATCCTATTAATCCAATCCCAGAACATGCTGGGCTCATCCAAGCTGAATCTTGATGTGAGCAGGGCAGTCTCAATTAGTACCATACCCGATTGAAGCAAGAAAAAAAAGCTCTATCAAATGAAAATTAAAAAACCCAAACCAATAGGGATATATATTAAACGAACATGAAAAGTCTAAAAACAATGCATCAGGATTTGGGAAATTTGAATGTGAAACTCACATTGAGGAATATCATATATTGAGAAATGTATGGAGGTGTCTGAACGTTCCCGCATAAATTTGGGTAGAACTTACTCCTTGCTCGAATTCAGCCGCTAAGTCCCCGTCGATAGGGTAGTGGTTTGCCGACGATCTCCAAACTCAGTCAACGGCTGAACACAATCACCGCTCTCAAGTCTCCCTGCCGCTACTCGCCAGTGATCTCCAAAATAGACTGCAAGACATTTCTATATAGCACTGCAACAAATTCCAAATTAAAATAAAATCGATTCATCATACAATGACGACACACACACGCTCTAATTCATGTCCAGAAAAGACAACCAGCAACAGAAGTCATAAAAAACATAATTATCTTTCTAGAGTGATGGAAAAACATATTCACCTAATGAACCTGAATACCAAATTAGAACATTTAATTCGTATACTGGCAGATTAGACAAACAAAAGCTAGCAAATATCTTTCACAATAAATGAATTATGAACATCAATATGCTATATATCCGAGATACTGGGCATATAAAACATTAAGCGGCCTCCTAGAAATTGGCACCAGTTTTAAGCGCCAGACACGTGGTGTATGGTGTGGCTAATTAGAAAGAAAATTTTCCAGCCATGGCCAGAATCCTTAAAATCCGATGGTCGTCCGTTTTTTTAGGCAGAAAAGTAATAGATCATAACCCAAAAAAGCACACGGCTACGATGAAATGGATGCCCTCTGCACAAAATATTTGGAAAAGTGTATCAAAGAAACCCAACACTTGTATAATTGACAATGCAAATGGGATTTATGAATGCATTACATAATTATGTAGCAGCCCATTTTATCAACCACATGATAGTTATGGGGGTAGTAATTCAAGACTTCATTCAGCTCTTTAAATTCAAAATCCTAACAAAGTAAAAGAGAGACAAAAAAAAAACCTTAACTGGTCCCGTGGAATCGTATGTAGGCATAAGCAATTAGGTAGTATAACAGTAAGTCAGTTACCTCCAGAATAGTATCAGTATGGAATTCTTTTATCCACTGAATCGTATCAGCCCACATGAGCTTAGCATTTTCAACATCAAATTGAGACTCAAATGTCTTTAGCAACAACACAACAAAGTACCATTAAGAAAGGATAAAAGTGATTGATCTATGCCCAAGGAATACACAAAACAAAAAAGCAAAAAGCTTTGAGCTTCAGCTAGAGGAAAACACCCACGGTTGTTCTGGAAGTGAAGACATGCCTAGTTTCTGCATTGTTCGTCAGACAGCCGGGCATAAAACCTAATGAAACATAGAACTTAAATTCCTGGTGGAGTGATCTAATGGAGCATCACTCCCTAAACAAATAAATCGGTGCTTTCAAAAGTTTTTGCTACATAAACTAATTCATGCGTAAAATAGTTCATAGTTTATTATTTCTGAAGCACCAAGCCACACCTATAAATTACCACGTGGAGAAAGTCCAATAATAGAACATACCTCCATGTTGTGAGAAAGGACTTTGACGTCAAACGACTCGAAGGCAGTACGTCGAGAGGTGGCAAGATGTACAGCCCGAATGCTAGAAGCAGGCAAAACCCCTAATTTGACAACGCCTTTTGCAATGCTCTCAGCCATTTTTCCGGCGCCGACAAACCCGTGATTGTAGGAGTCAATTGAAATTGGCACAACTGAAGCCATTCTTGTTTACTGCAATTTTTCTTTCTTTTTTGTAAAAAAACAACAAATTAGCAAAACAAACTTGAATGTTTTGATATAGATAGACATGATGGTTCGAAATTACAAACAAGAACAGAACAGTGAGGATAAAGACACATGACAATGTAAAATATAAACCTCAAGTTAAGCAAACAGAGAAATTAAAAAAAAAACAAAACAAAACAAAACACCACATAAAAAACACAAATGCAAACATATTTTTAAATCAGAACAGACATCACGCCAAACAACAAATATGTCAAAAACATTTACATATATTGAAAATAGTCGGGAGTTAATCTTTGTATTCATTGTTTTCCAGCTAAACACAGAAACATGACTATCAACGGAAGATAAATAAAAAGAAAAACGTAACTTTCCTGTCCATTCAATCATCAGTCATCCACAAAAGTTCCATCATTGACATAATAGCATTACAAAAAATAACAGCATGCTATCGCCAAGGCACAATTTTTTCAGCACAAGACACGATTATTTGACCAAAAGCCCATTCAATCACGGATCATCTATAAAGGTCCATCTTTGACATAATACCATAATAAAAAACAATAGCATGCCACTGTCAACGTACAATTTTTTCGGCACAATGTATCACCATTCACCAATTTCCATCAAGATATCTACTTTCTACTCAAAGATATCAAGACCCAAAGCACGCGTGTTGAAATTGCAACAATATCCCCATAGATTAAAAGTAGCAACACCCAATTCGCAAGTGAACAAATAACCTTTTTTAGAATCCCTTTGTCACAGGGTGTATGGTTTAACAAACGCCGGCGACCAACAGAGAAAAGAAACTTCAACAATTAAACCTGGGACGGCGAAAAACCAACGTCAATTGAGCCACGTGAGAAAGGAAAAACTTTGATAGACTGAAACGGTAGGATTGAGGTTTAAGACGTCCCCCTAGTTCCGCAAGCTCGTGCTTTTGTGGGATAGACATTTTGGTCATCGATCTCAGCAGTGAGGCGTCCTCCAAAGATATCGTTTTCATGGTGTTCTGGTGAAGAGAGACGACGAAGATGTCAGATGTCACCGTTGACAGCCCCATCTACAATTAGCTAATTAGCCGCCTTCTTGCTCTCCAAAATCGCGGTTGAGAAGTCCTTCTTCCCACTTTACCTGTTCAGAGCAAGAAAAGGATTCAGATTGACGGAGCCAATCACTTGAACCAAATAACGAAGACAAAATAAAAAAGAGATAAAGCGAGAAAAGAAAAATGAGAAAAACTTACTTACATAGCGCAAATCCCGGAAGGCCATCCACCACGCAAGCTCCAAAATCATTTGCAGGTACGACAGTGCAGATTTTCGGGGAACAAAATTCTTGCATAAGTCTCTTCTCGGTCAAAATTTTGGCAGTAAAAACCGAAAAAAAAATGAAATTTTTGTGGGGGCTTTTTCTAAAACCTACGCCTGCCACGATTTCCTCCAAAATCTAGGTTCTGGCAGTCGGATGACGGCGTAGCGGCGGCGGCTCTATGACGCCATGGTGAAGCTGACGGAGGCCGCGCAGGAGAGGGGCACCGACTCTCTAATTTGGGTCTCGCGATTGTCCTCGAGCCTCGTGTCTGCTGGCGTCTCCACTCCGTCCGTCGAGGTGGCGAAGCTCCTCATATCCCACATATGCTTGTCGAACAATAACCAATCGCGTGAAAGTTCAGGACGTCGTCCATCTCCACATGAGGGCAAACTACACATCGACGCCGTGTAATTGGTACAGAGAGTAGAAGATGGAGAGGGCTAGGGCTTGATGGAAGAAGAGAACGAGAGTAAGCGAAATAAATTCTTGCAGAGTTTTTACCAGTTTTGTTGCTTGATAGCCGTCGCAGGTGCTCCTTGCACGGCAGACCTTCGTCCGTAACCTTGACGCCGCCGTTCTTTGGTTTTCGGAATTTTTTTTTTTTTTAGATCTGAGTGAGAGGATTTTTGGAGAGTATAGATGATTTTTGGAGAGGATTTTTGAGATCTGAATACCGACATTGTACTGGGCAGTCAAAGGAGAGAATACGGGAGTTGGTGGAGACGTAATCGGGAAGAAAAGGGCAACAACTGAGGGGTAACAGTGTAAAAATAGTTCAAAGTCAAGGGTATTTATGTCCGAAAAAAATCGCTACGGGTCAGGCCCTAAAGCCCTCACACTTTTTCTTATATGTAAGAGAGAGATTTTGTTTAAAATAAATAAAAAAAATTAAATACTGAAAAATATCTATACACATTTCAAATTCTTCCCCTAGATAAATATATACAAGTATACAAAAATTTTATGGAGTCATTTTCTTATACAGTCATCCACTACTTAATGTATTGACACCTGTCCAAATTGTATTTATTGTATGACACATGTCAATACACTATTAGTGAATAAGTGTGGATGACTCCATAAGTTGAACAATCCGATGACTCTATATGCAACTTTTTTTTAATCATAAGTGTAAGTGTCAACTTTTGATAATTCATAATTTGATGTGTCAATTTATTTTATTACGCATTATAAATTTCAATTTCATATGGTCCGTAGTAGTTTATCTTTAAATTTTTTATCAATATTTATTAAAACTTTTAAAACTTTCCTATGGTTCGTACTAGTTTATATTTGGATTTTTTATCAATGTTTATTATAACTTTTAAAATTATAAAATAATTGATTGTCTAATAGTTTTTTATTATCAATTTTCATATATGATATATCAAGTTAATCACCTTAAAATAATTTTTGATTTGACCCTCATATTATATTATATATAAAAAGTCCAAATTTTAAAATTATTTTTAGAAAAAAAATAATATTTATTTAATTTTTTCAAAAATGCCCCCAAAAAAATAATAAAAAATACTATTTTTTGATTTGACCCCCATATATTATTACATATAAAAACAAAGTATATAATTTTTAAATTATTTTTAGAAATAAATAATATTTTTTGCCAATAAATTTATCTTCCTCAAAACTTTTATGCCTTTTCAGATTAGTCGTTACTCGCTTCCAGTCGAGTCAACGCCATTGGAGCTCCAGCTCGATCTCCATACCAATTTCAAGGTAAAAGATCCCTTTTTTCTCATCTATTTGTTTAGGGTTTTTCTGGGTCCCTTCCTCTTTTCGCCTTTCGTTTTTCCCCTTTTTAATTTGGCTGAAGGCAGAATCTGACCGTGTAAGAATCGTTTTTGCAGTGATCTCATCAGAGTTTCTTTGTAATCTTCGATCGGGGGCAGCTAGGTTAGCAACCATGGTGAAGGAGACGGAGTACTACGATGTGTTGGGTGTGAGCCCCACCGCAACCGAGGCCGAGATTAAGAAGGCTTATTATGTCAAGGTACGATCTTGTTGTCTGCTGTGCGGCCGCGTCATTGTTTTCACAGTTTGGTTCTTGATCGATTCGAGATTTAACATGGTGGGCAGATTATCTGCCCTATTTTCCTTAAAAAGATCCATATTTTTCCACCCCATTTCGAGTATGTTGATTTATGGGGGCATTTAGAATGGTAAAGTGCGCATGTGTAGTTTCTGTTTTTTGGATATGTTTATCGGATAAACTCCTTTTTTAGTTTCATGAGTTGAATTGTATAGCTTCTGCAGCGAAAATCGCTTACGAAGACGTGCTACTTTACATTTTGTTAATTATTATATTCTCAAAACAAGGGGAATTTGCTCTGCCGAAAGATTATTTGGACTTGCCAATGGAATGGATTTATATTTCTGTGCTATGCGCGACTGATTTATTTATATTGTTCAATGCTTTCGTCTCCAACGCTCACTATAAGTTTATCTTTCATGTTGAGAAGTTCAAATTTTCACCTGACATAACAATTTTATCATTGCTCCTGATTTGATTTTGGGAATTGTTTGATCTAGTATGAATTGTAATATTGTAGGCTAGGCAAGTTCATCCAGACAAAAACCCAAATGATCCTATGGCTGCACAAAAGTTTCAGGTGAGCTCACTAACTTTACAGTTTTAAGCATGTCCTTTTTTTGTTTTGTTGAAATCATTAGGGAAATTTTGATACACATCATAGTTGCCCTTAATATGGTAAGAAGCTTGGATTTAAACCTTCTTTGGATAATAAGCGGGATGTTTAAGTTCTAAGGAAAAGAAAAACAAATCTTTTGAATATATAAAGGGTCTCTTAGAAATAAGAAATTTATGCTGATATAATTTCAAAAGAAAGAGCAAATATATGACCTTGCCGCTTATGTGGTGACATATGTTATGCCATCATAAAGATAATCCATTCAAATTTTTCACTGCCAATTAATTACTCGTACATCCCAACTTTTCTCATTATTGGACAAAATCCTGCTGAGGCATTGTAGTGAAATTACTTCTTCATTCTAAACACTTATATTACAAGTTAAATGTTGTATTCTTCTTTATGAAATTATCTAAAATAAAAAACTACATTTAACTAGTTAATACAAGATGTACTTTTAGGGTTAAAGTTCAATAGTACTTGTGAAATCTGGTTGAAAAAAAATTCCGAATATCATAAGCAAAATGTTGAATGCAGTTTCATTTGTACTAATGTTGGCGGTAGTCTTTTTCGTTTGTAGAAAGTGATTAGTAAGCAGTAATTTGGATATAAATGATAGCAGTGCATGAAATGTAAGTTGTGAAAAGCTTCTTCTTCCTTTTTCAAGGTTAGAATTCTTTCTAACACAAGCTTTAGGTTCTTGGCAAGAAGAGTTTCATAATATCTCACATGTTATTAGACTAGTGAGCTAGTAGTTTCTTTTTACTCTTCTCTTCTATAAAACATTTCCATGTCTCTTAAGTAGTGATAGTTTCCCATTGCTTTTGAATTCTCTATCAGATTTTGGGTGAGGCGTATCAAGTGCTGAGTGATCCATCACAAAGACAAGCTTATGATGCCTACGGGAAATCAGGAATTTCAACGTCAGTGTATTTTATTATCTATTAGATATATAACTTTACATAACGGTGGTTCTTTGCTTCATGAATTAACTCACGCTACTCGGATTGCATTTTTTTCATCATTGTTTCTTTTCAGAGATTCGATTATCGATCCTGCAGCAATTTTTGCTATGCTGTTCGGAAGTGAGCTTTTTGAGGAATACATTGGCCAGCTTGCCATGGCATCAATGGCTTCCTTGGATATTTCCACAGAAGAATCGGTTGATGTCAAAAAGTTGCAGGAAAAAATGCGGGTATGAATTCTGAATTTCTGATTTATGTTACATTGTTACAAGACTATCTCTACCTGTCACTCATATATTTATATATTTCGCTCAGTTATTGCGGTTGATGAAAGTAAGATGTCTAAATTGAAGGATTATGTGAAGGTGGTACAGAATAATCGATATCCGCTTTTGGATTTTTGTTTTACACTACTGCCTGGTAAATACTTGAGTGTGAAAATGCAAACTCTTGTGACTTTATTCTGTGTTTTAATGGAAGATATCTCGACTCTTTACTGAGATTCTGATATGTGGGTGCAATTAGGTAATAACTTCCTTAGCTCATTACAGATGGACTATGGACATTGACTATGGCACTGCTTACACTGTAACACTGTTTATCTGATGTGAGAACTTAGCCAAAATAGTACATGTTGGCTTGATCTGGAAGACCATATGAGGCTAACCTGATTGTTATATGATTTGGTAACACTGTTTCTTCTTACCACCCTTACCAGACTGACTTCTTTCATCCAAAATAGTTCAAGTTGAACAGGCTATTTTGTGACATGGAAATAGTTGTCCTCTGACATCATCCCGACAGAGGAAGTTTTTTATTCATTTCGTTTAGTCTTTCTGGAGTTCTCATTTGACAAATCTCATGATTTGATAGGATTCTTTTTTATTTGTAACTTTAGAATGTCCAAAGAGAAAGGGAAGAGAAACTTGCCGGTATACTTAAAGATAGACTCAACCTTTATGTCCAAGGAAACAAAGACGAGTTCATTCGTCAAGCTGAGGCTGAAGTAGCAAAGCTTTCCAATGCTGGTAATAAATATATATCTATCTATTTCATTTGCCACATTTATAGAATCTCTCTTTCCTTGACGTGTTAACTCTCTGTTGCAGCTTATGGTGTGGATATGCTGAGTACCATTGGATATATATACTCAAGGCAGGCAGCAAAAGAGCTTGGGAAGAAGGTGATGTACTTAGGCGTGCCGTTTGTTGCTGAATGGTTTAGAAATAAAGGACATTTTATCAAGTCTCAAGTAACTGCTGCTACTGGTTAGTTAGTGTTAAT